CAATTAAGCCTGACCATCCGCGCTCGTAGATGGCAAAAGCCTCACATTCGCTCTGGAAAAGGAGATCTCGAAGACATTCCTCGAGCTGGCCATCCTCTGCAAGGCGGTCATTTGCTGTGAGTATCCGTCTCTCCAGGATGACTCTTGTGCTCATACGATCCGTATGTAGGTCGTGTATCACCACTCCAGAAAGCGTTGGTCGTCAAGCTCGTGAAGAAGAACCAGAAGTCGATTTTGCTCGCTATCGGTGACGGCGCGAACGACGTCAGCATGATCCAAGCTGCGCACGTCGGGGTTGGTATATCGGGTGTTGAGGTATGTGATACGGTCCCATCATGTAGGCAGCAACTGACAAAACTCCAGGGTCTCCAAGCCGCTCGAGCCGCCGACGTCGCGATTTCGCAGTTCCGCTACCTGAAGAAGTTGCTGCTTGTCCACGGCGCTTGGAGTTACACTCGTCTGTCAAAGATGCTGTTGTGTGAGCAGAAACGAAGTTTCGTAGCGTTGAAGTAAAAGTAACGTCTCGTTCCTGCCAGACTCGTTCTACAAGAACATAGTGCTCTACATGACACAATTCTGGGTATGTCTACCATTTCCTCTACACGTTGCAATCACGTCTGACTCGACGCATAGTTCTCTTTCTTCAACAACTTCTCCGGCCAGATCGCATACGAGTCTTGGACTCTGTCGCTTTACAACGTCGTCTTCACGGTCCTACCTCCGCTCGTCATCGGCGTCTTCGATCAATTTGTCTCTGCGCGTATCCTTGACAGGTACCCGCAGCTGTACATGCTCGGCCAGCGGAATGCGTTCTTCACTCGGACGCAGTTCTGGGCTTGGGTCGGTAATGCTTTGTACCACAGTCTCGTGAGTCGCTCTGCTATCAAATAATGATGCGAAGTGTTTACGTCTGCCATAGATCCTGTTCGGGTTCTCCGTGATTCTGTTCTGGGGAGATCTCAAGCAGGCGACCGGACTAGATTCTGGGCATTGGTTCTGGGGTACCACACTGTACCTTGCTGTACTGCTCACAGTACTGGGCAAGGCCGCGTTGATCTCGGAGTATGTCGAAGGATTCTCGACATCCATCACCTGTCTGACGTTTGCTTTGCAGCTTGTGGACAAAGTACACCGTAGCAGGTATGTTCCACCTCTGATATCCTCGTGCTCCGGATGGTCACAACTGCTCTTCGCAGCGATCCCCGGTTCTTTCGTCTTCACCATGCTCTTCCTGCCGCTCTACGCGGTCGTAGCCCCGGCTATCGGATTCTCGACTGAGTATCAGGGTATCGTCCCCCGTCTATGGACAGACGCAGTCTTCTACTTTGTCCTCCTGCTCGTGCCCATCGTCTGCTTGACGCGCGACTTTGTATGGAAATAGTGAGTTCAGTCATTCTTGTCTACTGAACTTTGTTTCTTAATCGCATCCACAGTTACCGGAGAACGTACATGCCGGAAACGTACCACATCGCGCAAGAGATCCAGAAGTACAACATCCCGGACTATCGTCCACGGCAAGAACAGTGCGTACGACTAGTGGCCATATATTGCCGTGACTGAGCCATTCCACTGCAATAGGTTCCAGAAAGCAATCAAGAAGGTCCGTGCAGTGCAGCGGATGCGTCGCAATCGTGGCTTCGCTTTCAGTCAAACGGAGAACGCTGCAAGACAGGATCAGGCACGTCTCATACGAGCCTACGATACGTCGAAGACGGGCGCACGGCCGTCGGGCTACTAACCGGTGCATCGTGCGATGAGTGCAGTCTTGCTAGTCTATCATTATACGGACATGTAAATCTACGGTAGCTTTCGAATTCTGGAGTAATTGCTTGTAGAACTCACGGTACCAGGTCCTCGTCGCTGTTCATGCGTCCGATCCACGCTCCACGGCGCCGCAATGGTGAGCTCTGCGAGCACAATAGTTGCAAAAAGCGGCATCGGAGGCTGCGTGCAAGGACGTCCCAATCGGCAGAAGAGTGCGAATTGATATCATTCATCTCTGTGGATACAACGGTACAGCTGCCCTCGATCAAGTATACCCTCCCGATGCACCTCTTGACGCCAGGATCCGAGAGCTTTGCGAAGACATCGGCGGGAATAGAGCACGCGGGGAACCCATCTGCAACTGGATGATTTCAGTGCGACGATTGGTGTCGACCTGCGATACGTTCGCTGAAAGAGGCGCGTATTTCCTATCAACGTGAGCGGCCTTCACAGCGCCGCCTCTTTCACCATTTGTGCTGTCAGATGCAGTCGGACTAGGAGAGCGGAAGCGAACAATGTGGGCGCGGCTGGAAGCATGCTCCGGCGACTGACCGGGTGGGCTGGCGTCACGATGTCGACGCCCAGACATATCATCGTAGGCGGGCCCGGACAAGTTGAGCGTGACAGTATATGTTTTGCAGGGTATTCTGCGGATGAGCTCGAATCCCTCGCATTTCTTGAAGGACACCTCGACATGGCGGTGGTCGTCACCGAAAGTGAAGTGAATCATGGCATGGTCTCCACGCGTCCTCGTGAAGTCGATGTGTGACCTGCGGCATGACGGGAACGATTGTTCGGGGCCGCTTATCTTGGGTATAGCGACCCAATCGTCGCCTTCGCTCGTCGGTTGTGCGACACGCACCTGCACCCACAGCTTGTGGAGTGGAGCACCGTGTACTCCAGGGTAGGGCACCATAAGGCAGAAGCAATTGCCGAGACCGATACGGACTACGAGCTTCTCATTTCGAAGTGTGTCAACAAATATGGCGTCCGCGACAACACCCTCTTGCACTTGCTCCCGGGTGAGTTGACAGGGCACCTTCAACACGGCTCCGTCAGGGCCACGCTGGGTGCATACGATGCCGTGGCGAGACTCGAGCAGAGTGTGGAGCCAATGCGGGAAGACGAAGGTGAAGTGGGGAATCGGCGCCATCACCTCGTGGATAGGACCGTCAGGATGAACCTCACGTACGTCCTGACCAGGCCCTTGGTGATGGATGTAGAGCTCGCTGAGTTCGAACTCCCCGTAACGGAACCTCTGTTTCTTTGTGCCGCGCAGATGGCCAGTCATGACCGGCTCTGGCATATCTTCCTTATCGTGCTCGGGAGTCAGAGCGTCCTCATACAGCAGGCGGCTCACATTGAAGAACGCGCCCCGGTAGTAGTGCTCGTTTTCGAAGCCATCAATGAACTCTCCAACGGCGTATCGAGGTCCCATCGTATCGTTGGCGCGCCGCAGAAAAAGGACGATAAGCTCTCCGCCAGCATTCTGGCAAGCCAGAAGAGCGAGCCGGACGTGCTGCGTGGTGGCAGTCCCAGTTCGTGCGATCCAGCTCTTCCATGAGTCGACTGCACCCATGGAGATGGGGAGCGTGACGTGTATGCCGTAGCTGGTGAGAGCATAGTGCGGGATTTTCTCCTCTAGTGCGAAGGTGCTGGCGAGATCACCGATGCTGATCGACCTATAGCCTGCGGAATTGACGAACTCTGAGGGAGAAGGCGCGAGCATATCTTGCAGTCGCGCCTGTGTGTCCAAGGCGACATCTCTATGGCTGTTGTGGCGGCGTCGCGCACTGTCGTCGACCTTGTCGTTCTCCATGAGGTCGCGAGCGACCTTGAGATCGGCGTGCAGGGGACCCCAGGCAAAAATGCTTTGGTCAGGGATCTGTCGGAGGATTTCCTCCTGGAGACGAGCGAAGGCACGCTGACCCTCTCCGTAGATAGTAGGCATGTTGATACTGAAGATTCCTAGAAGAGAGTATGCGCGATCTTCGATGCGCGTAGTCCGACGCTTCGAAGCCCAAGACATGCGCTGCGCGACACTGACGCCGTCCAGTGAGCGTTCGTGGGTGAGGATTTCCTTCTGGACGGCCGTAACTTCTTCGATGACACCGGCGAGCATATGTTTCGATCCGAGTGTGCGCCAGGTCTGCGTTAGGAAGACGACGCGTGCGGGTGCGATGAGTTCCTGGAGAGTCCAGCCGCGCTCATACCACCTACTTCGCCGGAAGGCAGAATCGGGCGAGCTTGGGTCCTCGTCGTCACCCACATCGTACAGGTACGCGTAACAGACGTCGGCGTCGGCATACCAGGCGAACATCGAGTTGATCGCCTCGGAGAGTTCAGCGCTGCTGTTGTGGTCGATGCAGCAGGTATCAATCCAGACCCAAGCGTAGCCCGCGCGTTCTGCGAAGATGCAGCAATTGCGGATCTTGGCCGACATGCGGTCCCGCGGATTCTCTCCAGTGAGCGCACATTCGACACCGATAGTCTGGACGTCTCTGAAGGAGAGCTCGTTCCGGACGTCCTGCCAAACGTGGGACAGGATGGCGTAGCGCAGCTCTCGAGAGCTGAGGAAGTAGTGTAGTCGGGCAGTCTTGGTATCAAGCAAGTACATCGCTCGACCTTCAGCGAGATTGGAACATCAGTTCTCGTCGAGACATGATTTGGTAGTATCGTGGCTTACCTCGAATCTTGATGCCTTCACAGACAATCTAGTCGCGGAGGGATGGGGATGAGGAAGGAATTCGAAAGGCTCGAAACAGAGGCTATATTCTGAAGAGTCATCCAGCACGCAAGCCGGGGTAGAATAGCAGGATCGATACGAGTAAGAGGACTCGGACGCTCATATATGAGAACACAGACACCATGCGGCTTCTTCGGCACATGGCAGAAGGAGCGTGCCGGGAAAGCGTTCACTTCCAAAGGCATTTTGAACCGGTGCGTGGTGCGTGTCGGATCCCAGGGTGCATTGCCTCGACTTCAACCTCATGTCAGAAGCACGCAAATGTGCCGATACAGCTGCAAGGATGGGGTTCAGCACGGTCACATTTGTTCTGTGCCGTTTAAAGTGTGGTACTGACTGAATGTCATCGTAGCAGATGTACGTTCATGTTGCCGTGCACACGAACTCGTCAATGGTCGAGAGAGGGAACGAGTTTCGTGCCAGCGGGTGTACAAAGCCGCGGACTCCGTGCCTCACCTGATGACCTGTAACAACACAGCACCCGCGGCATGGTCCTGTAGTGTAGTGGTTTATCACTTGGGATTTTGAACACGCTCGCCGGACGGCTCCTGATCCCGGCCGTCTAGCGAGTGTGGCTCTTCCCAAAACCCAGGTTCGAACCCTGGCAGGACCTTCTCTGCTTTTTCTTCCTCCTGCCATGCCTCCCAGGACAATGCTCGCACTGTATTCGCATCGCGGTGATCGTACATGCAACTGGTGATCCTCGGTATCTCAGATGCACACGACTACTCGTACAAACCACGCAATCTTCCGCTGCCGACATGTTTCTTGCTCCCACTCACGTATACGGCTTTGGGCCGACCCTACGCTCGCGCGACGCTAACCCCGGCTAGTCCAGCGTGCATACAATGCCACCCTTGGTCATGTTCCATCCCAGTTGATCGTAGGTCCACCCAAGTACCGTACCATCGGAGCTGTACTCGTGATACTTGAGCAAAGACCGATGCATCCCAGGCTTCTTGTGAATCGCATTGAGGGTAGCCATCTCCTCGTCCGTGAGGTCGAGCAGCTAGATGATGATGCAATCAGGCGCGAGACAGGTTGAATCACAATGCAACCAAAAAGGTGAGTATGTGGGGCGTCCGCTTAGCGAGGAGAGACGACGTACAGTGATGTTCTGCTTGATTCGCTCTGGATTCTCGCTCTTGGGGATGACCGCGGTGCCGCGCTTAACGCCCCAGCTCAAAGCGACCTGGCCGGGGGTCGCGCCGTGGCTCTTCGCAATGTTCACAACGTCTGGGTCGTCCAGGAATACCGGCTTCCCGTCGTACTCCTTCGGCCGACCTGCGTGTCTCGATCAGCACAAGGCGACATCAGAGGATGGTGCGTCCTGGGAACGCACCGAGAGGTGAGTAAGCTGTGATTAAGATGCCCCGCTGCTCGCACCAGACTTTGAGGTCCACAGAAGGGAGGCACGGGTGGCACTCAACCTGGTTCGTCGCAGGAACGATCGAAGACTCGCGCAGGAGGACCTCGAGCAACTTGATCGAGAAGTTCGAGACGCCGATGGAGCGGACCTTGCCGGTCTCGAGAAGAGTCTCCATATCCTTCCAAGTCTCGACGAAGGTCGGGCTCTGGCCATACGGGATGGGCTTGTTGTCCTCCGTGTAGGCCTGGGGCCAGTGCATGAGGTAGAGGTCGATGTGATCGACGCCGAGCTTGGCGAGGGACTCCTCAAACGACTCCTTCACCTTGTGATGATGGTGGTTGGGGAGCTTAGTGGTCAGGAATATCTCCTCGCGCGGGACGCCGGACTCGCGGATAGCCTTTCCGACGTACTCCTCGTTGCCGTACCCGTATGCCTGCGAGTGTGACGCGCTATCAGCTCAATCCGACTGCGACCTTTCCATACGTGCGCACCGTGTCTATATGCCGATATCCAGCCTAGTTCATCGTCAGACTTACGATATCACCGAAGACTCAGTTGTGCGTACCTGCAACGCATCCTTGCACATCCGTTCGGCGATCTCGCCACCTCCCGGGGAGCCCATCCAGCATCTGAGAGCGACATTGTCATTAGTACGGAGGTTCTACACAATGCAACATATCCGTCACAGCGCTGGCAGTAGGTGGGACGCAGCCTGTGATTTGACCTCGGTCGGGTGAAGGACGAGGGCATACAACATCGCGCTGAGGGTCTTTCTCCATCATGGGACTCACCCTATTCCTACGGAAGGCATTTCGTAGCCCGTATTGAGCGTGAAAGAGGGTATCTTAGCAGCCATTGTGCACCAGAGTTGGGCTGAGCGAAGGAGGCGGTGATGCGGTAGCGACGAGGCAGAGGACGGCGAACTCGATGCGCGAGGACCGTCTATATGACCGCTTCCGTGACTTCATCGCCTCTTGAAGGTTCCTGAATCTGCGGACGGAGTAGGCTGCTGTTGTTGCTGCTCCGGTCCGCTGGTAGGATATGGTCACCAGCTGATCGGGCGCGGGCCGGCAACAAATATAGGAGCTCGTCGACGGTCTGTGGCATCCCGAGAACGTGGACCCATACATAGCTGCGGAAGGGTACTGCTCCGTCGTGCTTGTGTACCGTGCTGTTGTGCGTGCAAGGTGGGAGTGTAAAGAAAGACGAGCGGGAGAGCGGCCCCTCGCCGCGACCGCCTGCCCGACCGGAGCGCCGGCATGCCCCGGGCTCGTCCCGGTCCTCCGGCGCCATCCTCCGGATTTGCACAGTGTTACTGTACGCTCTGCTTCTTCCATCGCCTATTTTCCGTCACGATCCGAAAGGAAACAACAGCATGCGATACCGCTCGAGCTGGTCGCCGTACGACGCAATGCAATTTCCCGGCGCCTATGTCCAAGTGAGTGCTACTTGTAGGACTACCAAGCTCACTCGATCCCTTCAAGCCGGGTACGCAAGGCTCAGCTTCGTCACATATTCCATCGCGGCAGCACGATAGGTGTCCAGTGATAGCGAGAGAGGCACGTAGCCGTCTTGGAAGGTCAGCAGTAGTGGGTCCTCGTTCGTATATCTCGGCCAGCGGAAAGCACCATCGCCGTTCGGGTCTAATGTCGTTGCGAAACGGATCAGGTAATCCGTCATGTCTCCTCCACCGTATATGTTCGGTAGCTCAGACCCATGCGCCTGAAATATGTATTCATAGTAAGTCACTGCCGACGGACCACAGCGAATCAAACTTACGGCTCCTATGCCCTTGATCTTCCCACCTTTATTCACTGTGCAGTTTTGAGCTCTGCGAGACAACGCAGCAGGGGAATCATCACAACTCACGGAACGCGTACACTGGTTGCTTTCCCGCCAGCTCTCGCGCGAAGAGTCTCCGAGGAGCTTGCTCGACCCAGTCGCCTTGGAACGCAGATATACGCTTATACTGCGGGGAATACGCGAATGCGTCTCCCGTCCCGAATGGGGAACCCGCCCCGGGATCCGCAGGATATAGCTCTCGCAATGGCGCGATCTCCTCTCTAGGCGCCTTTGCAAAGAAATTCGAAGACAAGTAGTCCATGAATTCGCTGTCGGTGCTGGAGCGATACGTCAGCAGCGAATAGACCGACAACGGGGATGGCTATGTCCTACGTGACATTCAGCGAGGGGAACGCGAACGCGCTTCCTTCGTCTTCGTCGTTGCCTTGAAGGAACGTATGTCATTCAAACCAGAACAGAGAGGTCGAAATCGTGAAGGGAAGGCTCACCGATCACAATCGGCACCCTGGCTACTTTCCCTTTCAGGAGCAAGTGTTGCGGAGGGTCAGTCACGAACACGCCATCAGCGTGGACGTTCCAGGGTGTGTTGACTTGCTGGATGTGGACGTCTTGAGATTACTCTGCAACAAATATGATGACTTCCGTGCATCACTCACAACGTAGTCCACAAACGACGGAGACTTGTCCATGGCGGCCTTCAGAACCTCAGCAGGAACCGTTCGTAGGCATTCCAGGGTTTCGGGGGCCAACGCACACCCCGCGTCTGCAACAATTTGGTCATATGTACCTTGTACTTCAATGATATCGCCGTAAGGACCAGGAGCCCCGGACTGCAGGAAGCCGGCGCGGAAAAGACCCTCCGTATCGCCGCCGTTCGTCAACATATGCAACGAGACTGAGATAGCGCCAGCACTCTCTCCCCAGCTAGAAGAATTGTCAGGCACGCGGGCTAATCTCAGTCGAGGAAGTACGCACATTGTAACCTTCGAAGGATCGCCGCCAAAGACAGAGATATACCTCTGGACCCATCTCAGCGCCTCTCGCTCTGGAGACCATACTTTCATCATCTATACCGCCGATCCTACGAGGGAGACCTACGATCTTGCAGACCTAGATTGCCGACTCCGGCGTCCTTCACTTCTCTTCCACCGAGAAAGCCGAAAGCTGTAATCCCTGAGTAGCCGATTCGCGGGTATGGTACGTCCGTACATACCGCTCAATCTATGAGTGGTCAGGATATGAGGGCTAGAGCGGAGCAGAGAAGTATAGACACACCTGTAGTTCATCGCCACATAAACCACTGGATGTCCTATCTCGACTGACCGTGCTACAACTATATCTCCGGGCTCTCTATAGGAAGCTAAGGATGAGGATAAAGTTTCATCAGCTGCTGGAGGCGACGTACACGGCATTCGACCCATGCTGGAAACCACCTGGAAGGTATGAGTCACGGTTCCGGCACTAAAGCGGCTATGCATACCTCCATATATCCACTGGAGTATTCGCGTGGCGTCAGATAACAATACGTCGTCAGAGATGTGATCGACTTACTACGAGGACAGGTAGCTTGGAATCAGGGGTTGCGAAGGACGGCGTGATTACGTTCAAGTTGAGGCCTGCGCAAGTCCTGAGTGTCGAGGCAGACATTCGACAAGTGCGAGGGCATACAATTCTCGCTCTGGGGTACGTCCGCTATGGAGATGAAGTCCTCCAAATACTGCTGCGCCGGTACGGGAACATTCGGGGGAAACGGCGGCAGCACGAAATCCTGTTGTATGCATTGATTACCAAACGTGGTGGCATTCACGAGGCCAGCATAGGGAGGAATCGGCTGCGGAAGGCGCAGTCTCAGGTCTCCGACACTTGTAGAACGACGCGTATTAGCTATAGCACGCGGGGTAGCATGTTGGTTACTTACGGTGGTTGAGCGAACGGTACCCCGAGGAACCGGCTCACGGTCCCGTTCGGAGAGCCAATCACCGTTGCATTATCGAGTACGACGAAGGGTTGTGAAGCGAGTGATACTGCTGCGTTCGAAGCAAGAAGGCAGTAGAGGAACAGCATGGTGGTGACACAACGGGGGACAGCTACTCGGCGTGAACACGGCGGTCATTTTATACTGCGCCTGGCGTCTTGAAGCTTGACACCCCGAGGCCAATTGCTGCCTTCGCTCCCATCAAAGGATAGCATGAGGCCTCACATCGACACAGTAGCGCTTCAGGGAGCCGTTATGCAACCGAAGATTTACTGCCAATGCGTGAAGTCCCGTGCAATCGCTTCTCCTTCAGACGTGCGGGATAGCGAGGCCGTCACAACTGGCGCATCGCAGAGCTCGAAAGGCCTATGTGCACAAACTGTGCTGCGATAGGTTCATGCAGAGTGTAGACACTCGGAATTCCCGGTGCGTGCCTGCGAAAGCATGCTCACCAACATCCGGATTG